TCGGCGGCCTGAGCCGGAGGCTCTTAAATTATACTGGGGTTTCGAGGGGATATCACTCCAATTGTTCGGCAACCTATAATGCAAGAAAGAGTCAGAGAACTGGCAGCACATCTCACAGGAACAGCCCCAAAGAGGGAGAACGCATACCCGCCCCGGGTTCGTATGCGTTTTTCTTTATTCAAGGGAGGGTTGCTGAAGGACAGGACCCCTCAACCCCAAAGCATTGAACCACCGTAAGGATTTCCGTTAGGGCATACATAGCCTCGCTACGAACGAAACAAACACATGGCACGGTTAATATTGATTATGCAAAACGCCGACTGCAATAGTGACGGCAACTGTCCCGATACGAAGCTTGGTGACAGGAAGACAAGCTCGCATGATGATTGCTTCATGAATGTTGATATCATGGTGAAGGTGTTGGTGGGCCGATGCTGATGATAGACTGCCGCGGCGCCGAGACGATGACGACGATGATGACGACGACGACGACGGCGATGACGACCATGATGATTTCTTACTCATGGTGATGCTGATGGCGATGATAATGACCCTAGGCCCTACACCCTGAAGGTGTTCAGGGTGTCTTGCGGATAAACCCTGAACCGCTACCTCTGAACTGCTTGGGCCCGTGAACCCAGGGAGCCATGGCAAGAGCGGCCCCAAAGCGGATGGGCAGGAGAAGTCGGGCCTCAGGGTATCTAGGGTTCAGGGGCTTTAGAGTTTAGGGCTTTTTGGGGCTGTGGGGTCTAGAGTTTAAAGTTTTTGGGGATCAGGTGCTGAGGCTCTTAGCGCTCTGAGTGTTTAGGGGTTCAGGGATCAGGGTAGGAACGGGCAGCACCCATCCTATGCGTAGAGTTTCGGAATAGGGCTTAAGGGCTTTGTGGCTTTCGGGGCTAAGGGCGCTGTTCCGATCCGCGATGATTAGGGCTTACGGCATGAAAATCAGACTTGGCGTTTCGGCCTATGACGGCCACTTCGAGTGCTTGTTCAAACTATTCTCGCGAATGTAGCCGACACCTGCAGATATCATTGTGACTTCTACGGTTGAGGTTGGTACAGTTCTCGAGACTCGTGGAAAACTGCCGGCTAGGCCACCTGGCAGGGTGTCGGATGGTTAAGACTAAGACCCACACTCTAAACCCTTCAGACCTTGGCACAACAAATCCGAAAGGCCTGCATCATGTACGAAATCTGGATGTAGTGCCCGTCTTCCTAGCATTGAATCCGAACTCTCAAAATTCCCTAAACCCCAAAGAACACGCCAAAGCCCAAATCCTCTGACACCCGACACAACCCTACAAAAAGCCCAAGTGGAAAAGGAACAATACAAAAAGCATCGAATAATGACCCCCTAAACCCTAAACCACAACGCCCCTGTATCAGGCATCGGGACGATGTTGGAGGCCGCGAAGACCAGCCCGAAGACGGCCGCGCTCTCCTTTCAGGATCCCAAACTATACCTGTTTTAGGGTGCAGTGGTTCAGGTCCCAGAGACTCTAAATTCACTTGAAGTAAGAAAAACACTTAAATCACAACTATGAGCTCTAATAGGATTTAAGGGATATTCCTTGGTCAAGGGCGTCGGGCCGTCTCCGGGCTGAGGGCTGACTTTATGATCTGTAAAGTCAGAAGATACTGCGGGTTCAGGGCTTAGTTAAACCTGATTTCCTGGAGAACCTAAGACTAGAGGAGTTTTGTGGGATCATTGCTTTTTCCTGCGGTTGTTTTAACAAGGTACATTTGGAAGGCGCTATCTTGACACACATGACCCTAATTCCAAATTTCTGTAGCAGCTCTGTGGAATGGAAGTTGCCACGCCTTTACCTGAGGCCCGAAAAAAGTCATATAGGGGCCTTAAGAAGTAGAAGAGTGTTTTGGAGCTGTAACCGCGAACCTGAGGTGGATTTTTGTACAGGTTTCGAAGCTTCGCAACCTCAGGACTTTAAGGGCTTTAGGCCTATGCAGCTTCAGGCTTTGGAGTCTCGGACCTTTGGGGCCAAGGCTCACCTGAAATCCTGAACCTGAAAAAGCTCTAGTAAAACCCATGTAGAACCCTTGTAAGAAACCCTCGTCTTATACCGAGATACCTGTAAGCTTTGGCCCTGCACTTCGTTCCTCGAAGCCCGACGTCCCCCAGGGCAGTTGTGAGATCCCAAACCCTAAACCCCGAACTCGTTGGGCCGATTGAACTATGCGAACTATGGTATATCGGGCTTAGCGTTTAGGCTTAACCTCATACATTAAACCTGGAACCAAACAAGTGCGAAAAGATGCGAACAGTGCTGGGGCTCCCAGTTCGCTTGCACCAAGGGCTTGAGAGGAAGTCCCAGGAACCCTAGAAGCTCTGGGAACCCGAAGCACCCCCGAAACCCCAAGAAGCCTATACTATAATATACTATAATACACTAGAACATGATGTAATATAGTATAATGTAATATAATCTCATATAGTGTAATATCATATAATCTGATCTAATATGATAAGAACCCCAGAGCCCTGAACCTTCCTCTGGCTTGCTGAAGTCCGGCCAGTGCCCAGCCGTATTCAAGTACACAATGCACCTTTGGCTTTGGGTTTTGGGCTTCAGGGGTTCAGGATGTTGGTCCGGGGCTGAAGGCGTTCAACAGAGGGTTCAGGGTTTAGGGGTTTAGGGGTTTAGGAATTCAGGAGTTTAGGGGTTTAGGGGTTTAGGGGTTTAGGGTTTAGGGGTTTAGGGTTTAGGGGTTTAGGGTAGTTTAGGGTTTAGGGTTCAGCCGAATCAACTCGATGGCCTCGGGTCTAGGGGCCTTGGGCTTAGGGTTTAGAGTTTAGGGTTTATAGGGTTTAGGGTTTAGGTTTTAGAGTTTAGGGTTTAGGGTTTAGGGCTTAGGGTGGTTTGGGCTCGGTTACATTGGCAGGCACTTAATATAGGGGCCTTAATAGTGACCTATACTATTTTGGGGGGGTTCCTTATTATGGTTTTAGTATAATGGCCCCCCCCCAAACCCCCCCAAACCCTATTCTAATTATTAAGGCCCCTACATCACAGCTGAAGATGCCAGGGCTTGGTGTTTAGGGTGTCGTTTTCAGGGGCTTAGTAGTGTTTAAGATTCACGGGCTTTGGGTTCGGGGTTTGGGGATTTCAGCGGGAAGGGGAAGCTAGTAGGACTCCGAATTAGTAGCGTTGTGCTCTATGAGTTTGATAGTAGAGTTCCATCTGATGCGACGAGACAGTCAATCAAGGAACCAGGCGAGGCCCCTCAGTTTTGTAAGCGCCTTAAATACTGAGCTTTGAACCCGAACATGTTTGCCGACAACTTTATACCACGGTGAAGGGAAAATCCGAACTATCGGGCGCTTGGACCCGTAGGGTTATTACCTGAACCTGCACGTCCCAAACCCCAGCCCAAGCCCGCCAAAACCTAAACCCCAACAACCTTTAAACACCCAAAACCTTCTTAACATCTTAATCTTGTAAACTTAACCTAAGCCCAACCTTTCAAACGGTCTGAGAACTGTGTAAACTTCAACCTCATCTCGTAAAACTTTGTGCAAGCTCAACCCTAAAGCTAAGCCCAAAACCTAACCAACCAATTTGAGTCATTTCAGTTCCAAGGGTCTTCATGGACAGCTTCTCTGCAAAGCCGAACAGAAAGCATGTTTAGATAGGTTTAGAAATCATGTTTGGGGGATTGTGGGGGTCTTAGAGTCTGCGTAGTAAGCAGTCCGTTCTTCCCAGCCCCAGTATACAAATCCAAAACAGCTCTGAACCATATTTCCGTGGCTTAGGCATGGCGCATCCATCGGCCTCATTGCAGCCTGCTTCTTTGGTGAGCCATCCCTTGCTGGTCTGAAGTTCCGTGGCCTCTTTGATAGGTCTTCGATAATCTTCAGAGGAACAAACGACGAAGCAAGCACATAAACTCAAAGTATAGCAGCTTGCCCCGATAAAGCAATTAAATTGGGCATTTCCTCAGCTGTTTGCTTTGGGCCACTAAGACAGGCTTCGCATTTCGATTCCCAAGCCCCGAAGTTAAGTAGCCTGAATAATTGCAGATGTTGTTCCTCAGCGTGTTTTGCCCCGAAAGCCAGGCTGCTAACTTCAAACCGCAAAAAAACCCTTACACGCACCTTTGTTACAGGAGCCATATGAACCCCTTGTAAAACCATATTCTCATAATTTAGGCCCTTACACGAAGGATTAGGGGCAGACCAAGAGCGACTGAAGCCCCGGTTTGGTGTGTACAGAGGTTTAGGGTTTCATAGGGTTTAGGGCTCTAGGGTTCTAGGGCCCTAAACCCTAAACCCTAAACCCTAAACCCTAAACCCCAAACCATTCTAGGGTTTAGGGCTCTAGGGTTCTAGGGATTAGGATGGTATCGGGGTTGGGGTTTGGGGTTCATAGGGTTGGGACCCGATCGAAACCTTGTACAACCCCTATAGAACCCCACAAAAAACCCTGGTAGCAACCCGTACAGAAATCCCCCAAAAATCCTACCTTAAGAACCCAAAACCTACTTTTTTGTAGGGTCCCTATAAATCCCATATTAGGGTTTATAATAAGAACCTACCAAAAAGTGGGTTACTGGTTCTTAAGTTAGACCATAAATCACAACCCTTTGTCGCTCGAGGCAATGGAGTGTTACTTGTCTTCATCGCCGCCCGCTTTCGTCTCGGGCGCAAAAGGGGGGGAGTTGTGGCTGTAGGTGCTTCGGGTTTCGAGGTTTAGGTTACCAATCCACCCCTGGGATCGGTCAGGCTTCGGGAAGTCGCAACTAGGGCCAAGGTCTAAAGTTGGACCTACTTCCAGGTTCCTTCCGAGACGGTTTAGGGTTTAGGGTTTAGGGTTTGGGGTCCAAGGTGTGGGGTCTAGGGTGACGTACTCCAACCCTTCGGGCGGTAGAAGCCATGGTGGAGATGCCGCGAATTTGGGTCATGGTGCCTCCGCGGTCGGGGGCCTGGAAAGGTCCTTGGGGGTTTTTAGGGTTTAGGGTGTAGGGTTTACCTTGGTTCAAAGTTTAGTACCGGGGTTTTAGGAGTTCGGACTCACGGTTCAGGGTTAGGTCGGGTTTAGGGTTTAGGGTTAGGGTTTAGGGAGGTCGGGTTTAGGGTTTAGGGTTTAGGGTTCAGGGTTGGGTGTTGTTGGGGCCATGGCAATTATGCAGAAATCCAGGATTTCTGACTTTTGAGGCTTCGGAACCTGGGGTTCATTGGACTCTACACGCGAAGATCGAGTTGTTGTTCAGGAGTTATTCAGGGTTCAGGGGCTTAGGGCTTAAATTAACATTTCTGATTTAGCATCTAGGATGCTGGAAGTTCTCTAGATTGCATGGATCACCGTCAGAGTACGTCGCTGTTACATGAATGAGAGCCACCGCAACTTCGGTGGACAACCCACCCCCCCATGCAGGGCGTCGAAGTTACAGTTCTGCTTCCAGGACTCATGTCTCGCGGACGAGGATGGTCCATGATTTCATGATGGTCCTTTGCAGCATACGCATTTCTTGTTGCTGATGGTGCAATGATTGGTCCAGTTGCTAGCATTTCAACCTTTGGGGTTCTGAAGCATGGTCCGACTGGGATTCCATTCTAGTATACGTGTCCATACCGATTCTGTTCCCTAAACCCTAAACCCTAAACCCCTAAACCCTAAACCCCTAAACCCTAAACCCTAAACCAAAAGGCTTGATAACCATTCTTCCTGACATCCCAGGGCGCCGTCATTCTGCCCTGAGACAAATCCAGGCCAAGGGGGCTCTTGGTCGACATTGCAACGGGTCTAGGGATGTGGGTAGTTCTCTAAATTAGGGTCCCCTTTTAGGTCCCCAATATAGTACGGCACCCTTAGAAAAAGGAACCCCAAACCCTAAACCCGAAAAGGGACCCTACTTTAGAACACTACCCATGTGAGAGTTTTTGGGTTGATTGTCGGGCTCCTGGTCGTTAGCACCCAATGATTAGGGTTAAGGGTTAGGGTTAAGGATTTAAGGTTTTGGGGTTTAGGGTTTTGGGGTTTAGGGATTAGGGTTTAGGGTTTAGGGTTTAGGGGCTAGGGTAGCAGTAGCAGTTTGGATGGAGTACCCTTACATGAATCCTTATCGTAAGCCTCTACAGTACCCTTATAATATTGCTCATTGTTGGGGAGTATATGATCGTTATAGCTTGGACCATTAGGCTTTCGATCTGGTCGAGGTTGCGCAGATTTTCTCAATTCTGCCGCAGTGGGAGCTTCAGCGGCTGCCACATCGAGTCTTCGATCGATGCTGCCGATACTCCAAACAGCGCAAAATCTTTCCCTAAACCCTAAACCCTAAACCCTAAAGCCTCAACCCTAAACCGTCTTTCTCCAGGTTCCAGAGCCATCGTGTCCTCTAGCCTGCCCTCCTTCGCACTGATGGTCATCCCGACACCCGCAACTCTCAACAGCACCCCTAGGAAACATGATCCAATGACCTGCCCTAAGTCCCGAATCAAATCCCCTAAGCCCTAAACCCCTAAACCCTAAACCCTGAAATCCCCAAACAGGGTTCTTCTCACGGTTAGGGTCGCGCAGCTCTGTGTGCCAGCAAAACCGACCCTGTTGGCCTATGCAGGATGCCTTCTTTAAGGGTTTAGGGCTCAGGGTTTACGGGGGTTTTAAGGGTTCGGTTTCGTTTTCTCCTCCTTGGACCAGGTCTGGCGCCCGCCACCTCAAAGCTCTTCTATGCCAACTTCTTGAAGGCAGTTGCTGGCTTAGGTTTTCAGGCCTCAGCGGGCTTTTTGGCGTTGACAGGGTTCGTATAAAGTCTATGCGGTTTGCCGGGCTTTTGCGGCTTAGAGGGTGTGCAATTTTAGGGGTTAGGGCCACAGGTTAATAAGGTTTAGTAGGGTTTGAGAACTCAAGCAGGGCTTGGCACGACAAAACAGAGACTCAACCAGCATAGATGATGGGCTCGCTAAGTAGAGGTCCGTTTTGGCCTCGATCACAAGAGTGCCGAACTCTTGCCAGATCCAAGAAGGACCCACCAACTTGGATCCCAAAGACTTCGTAGTTGGTGTTTTGAGGTGCTGAAGAGTGCCTACCTACAAGTAGGGCTTTAGTAGAAGCCTTGATACGTCAAGTAGAGTATGGGTCCAGTAAGAGTCGATCTGCCTCTCGACCTCCTCCTCCCTCTCTCCCTCCTTCTCTCTCTCTCTCTCTCTCGCTCGCTCTCTCTCTCTCTCTCTCTTTCGCTCTCTCTCTCNNCTCTCTCTCTCTCTCTCTCCCTCATTATGGCTTGGGCGGGCTAAAGCTTGAGTAGCTAGAGAGTATGCCTTAGGCTTATTTCTAACAGTTAGGATGTTGGGGTTCAGGGGTAGGCTTTTGCTGCTGCTTCAGGTCAGGTGTTGAAAAAGGTTTGTGGGCTTCAGGAATCAGAGGCCGAAAGCTGCAGGTCTTTACCCGAGCATATACCTTCTGATTCATGTTGTGTAAAGCTATGTCACAACATACCGCAAAACCTGATTCAGATTATCAGGGCCCCTTTTGTAGCCGTTGGTCGTGCGATTCGCATGAATAGTTTGCGCACCCTAAAACCCTAAACCCTATA